CAATCATTCTACAGCATTGTCTATTTTCCAATATTTTCGAGCATCACTGTTTCCTACTGTCCCTTTTTGTTGCAATATGTTTTACCTAATTGTCGGCCTGTTCGGGACAGGCCTCGTAGTGGTGGTGCCATGCATTTTGGGTGGCTATTTATATAACTATCTAGATGTGTTGACGGATCCGTTTCCTACCCTCTATTGATGAAACATGACGGAAATTTCGGCTGGAAACAAAACAAAAATCCTAAATTAAATTTTAAAGAACGTAGGATGAAAGAAATGCGAAACAAAAGAGCATGCAAACAACCTGTCGAATGCTGCGCCATATTTCAGATTTGGCTAACCGAATAATTTGTTGAAAGCGTTTTCGAGGCTGAGGATAGCGTTGGAGTTCAAGTTTCAGAAGACACTCATGTATCCGAATCGTCAAAGGTTTTGTAATTCACACGTTTTATCCCACCACCATGACCCCAAGCTAACACAATAATATACAGCAGGCGTCAACCAAGGTATAAAAAGCGAACAAGAAGTAGGGTCGCTTGTCGCAAAACCTGGAAGAGGATCCTTGGCATCGAGCGTGAGAACGAAGCATTGCAACGAAGTAATGAAAGTGAACTTGAGTGGAGGATTGCATGACCAATGAGGACATAAGGCAGCAAAAAACCAAACATTTCAATAGAATCCAGAAGCAGTTGTGCATTCGGCAGAAGCTGAAGGGAGACGGGAGGCAAAACAAGAACAATGTAGGGCAAACGCACGAAGCTGAGTTGTAATTTGCTCGGTTTACCTTCGCAGATTGCATTTAGTGGCGTGGCAGTCCCATTATGCCTTGGTAGCCGATGTGGAGATCACGCAGTTAGTCGTATAATAACTGAAGCCGTTCGGAGTTTTTTAACTTTTTATATATGCAAATCCTTGACTTATCGGTCACGAACCAAGGCCGAATATATGGCAAGGCGACTTCTCTCAAATGAGATTAGAGGCATTACAAATAGACTGGGGTCTTCTTTTCTCCGGGGATGTCACTGAGGACTGGAATAAATTTAAGGGGTGGTTGTCGCATCTAATGCGCCGTCATTGTCCACTTTCAGTGCCCAAAATATCTAGCCGACCTCAATGGCTGAAAAGAGATCTCGAAAGAGAGATCAATAAAAAAGGAAAGCTTTGGAAGAAGCTTTGCAACATAAGCTGCAATGAAGCTTTTAAACAGTACAAAATCCAGCGGATCAAGGTAAAACAAATGGTTTTCAAAGGACGACAGGACTTTGAGAGCGATTTAATTTGTCGAGCTGTCAAAAACCCAAAGTTGCTATACAGTTATTAAAGGAAAAGCATACGTAACAGGAACCCGATTCCTGTTAGGCAAAATAATGATGGTCTCGAAATCTCCGACTGTAAAAACAAAGCAGAACATTTTGCT